TCCCTTCTTATTATCATATTCCCTTCTGGAACCTGATGCTGTTTCCACTGCAGCCACAGTACAGTGTAGCACTGCTTATATTCTAAGTGGATATATTTACACTGAATACTCGGCTACAGGCAGCCTGAGTCAGGCTGTTCAAGGACATTACTCATAATGCAATGTGATCCTGTATTTAACACAGTATTCTAAATAAATTAGTCTCTAAAATTAAATTTAGTTTCTAAAAGGTTAATCCTAAATTTGGCTTCAAACTCCAACATGTATGTAGGAAAATTAGCAATTTGCTAAGTCTCCACTCCAAGTAAACTTCATTAGCTTAGTCTGTTCTGGGATACAGAAATGAATTACTGAACTGCTGCTCTACAAGTGATTTTGGAGCTAGCTGGGTATCCTCTCCAAAAGAATTGCTGACACAACCTGCTCATGTCAAAGATTTAAGGGAGAGCTGAGTTAGGATAGGGGTTAAAAGTAATGAGGAATAGTGGTATAAAATGTTACAGCATTACACAGAAATACTTTAAGGATGATATTGCCTAAGCTGTAGTTATACAGAAAAGAGCCTAGTACTTACAACAACACAGAAACAGATCTTTTTGCTTTGGGTGCTTAACACAGAAGTGGAGATGACTTTCACAATGACATTTATTGGTGGCCTGTATGTTTTTAGTAATACTTTAGACAGTAAAAGTTGTTACGTAATCGAGGTAAACTTCTATAATATAAAACTGGCTATTGAAATAGAAAGCATTTAATGTCCACAAATCACAAATTATAACCTCACAAAAATATTGAAAAGAAAATGATGCCTAGTTTTTGTTACCTAACTTGCCAACTACAAAGCTGAAGCTCGTGGCACTAGTCCACTAAAGAGATCACACAATGCTCTTCTCAGACATGATCTGATCTGGCCCTATCCCTCGAGTGTCCTGCCACATCTGCAGAGTTTGCTGGTGCCACTGAGCTTGACAGCTGGGTTGGAGGACTGAGGGTTTGTTAGTTCAGCCTTGGCTGGGAGGTCGCTGTGGAGGTGCACTCACTAACTGATAGAACAGCCCTCACTTCGCACTAAGCCGAAAGATTTATTCTTCTTTTTTGTGTGTTTTTCCCCTCAATCTTTTGCAAAACCAAAATTAAATATTTGCATTTAACAATAATGTTTACAAATTCAGTAAGTCCCTCTTTTAGGCCTTCAACCACCCTCCCCTAAGGATTTGTTTCTCCTTTCAATGGCAAATATTTCCCTGGGAATACCTGCACTTTAGTATACTTCAAAAGGAGGTCAGGTTTATCAAAAGAAACCTTTGCTGAAGATATTCAAGCAAAACTAGAAAACTTACTGTATTCTCTGCTGCTGTCACAGTTTCAAGTAGACAATGGAAAATATCAAATAGTAATGCTGGTAAGATAAAGGACTTTTGGTCTTGTGGTTCTTCTGCAACCCCTTGATTAACAATGTAAACATGAGGGACTTGTTAGGTCAAGAAGCCAGATAAATTCCCACTGTATCTGTAATGGTTTTGTTGGAAATTGGGCTAACCAGTGTAGATTATACAATATGCTTTAGGATGGGTGTACAATGGGCAAGCAAGTAGGGATAGAGCACAAAACATGAGTAATAGAAAGTACTATTGCACAATGAATAGAAATAGATATTATGCATGTACATGTTAAATATGTAATTTAGTAATTATTCACCAGCAAAAAAGGTGTTCAAATAATGAATTTGAAATGAACAGGAGGTGTGATGCCTGTATTTAGGGCTATATGCTGTTCCTGTTAGTACTGACTTGGGTTCCTCACAACAGGAGAGTACAAGGACAGACTAAGGGTTTGTACTATTTTACTTTGGTTATCACAGAAATGAAAAGCACTGTGGATACTCTTTCTAAAAATAACTGCATACTATTGCATATTATTAATTCTAACTTTGTGTTTTTTAAGGTAATGGGAGTTTGTTCTTAAATATCTATAGCCAGTTTTCTTTTGATATTAAGAGGGCTCAATCCAAAGTTCCCCAAAGATGGCAAAGTCATAGAGAGTTTAATCTTACTTAATCTTACTTAGCTTAATCCTTTGCTGGCATGGTAGGTCCTTGCACCAAGAATATTCTGGTCATCTCCTACCTGTTCTTCAGTAGGAACCACATGTCCAAGGATCCCCAGCAAAGACCAGACTGTCCCCCATGCACAGGTGGACAGGGGAGTGTAAGGCTCAGCAATAACGTGTTTCTGAGCACCTGCCTTGGTTGCAGATACATGATGGAAGTGGTGTGGGTGTCCATCCTGTGGGCTCTTCCCTTAGCTGTCGGGTTGGGGTGTTAGTTCACTTCCTGCTGGTACCCCGTTAGAATTGCTGGAGAGTTTTATCTCTAGGTTCTTTTCAGTATCTGCTGATTTGCTTTTTTTTTTTTTTTTTTTTTTTTTTTTTTTTTTTTTTTTTTTTTTTTTTTTAAGGAGCTAGGATATTTGGTAGCTGATGAATGTTTCCTTACTCCTTAGGAGAACAAAAAGTTCCCTGCTTTATTTAGGAAAACTTTCCTCTTTACTTTCTTTGCCTAGTGATTCAAGGTCTGTGCTGCCCTCAGAGCACAGCAGGTGTAATTCCTTCCTACCTCCTCCAGTAACACAACTGACTCTGCATGCTCCTGCTTTTTCACATGGCACAGGCAGATGCACCAGTAGCTTAGGATACAGACCCTCTTAAAACTAAACTGCAGGATCTGTCATGAAATGATCAAGATAGTAACCAATGGCTTTGATTTTTATGTCTTCTCTTTGAGATGGCTCTTGTAGTAATGCAATCAATGTTTTGCAAATGAGCTCCCTGTTGTGGTCACTGGATTTCAGTGACCAAAGGGATGAGCAGGTGATGAGAAAATGCTCGTTTAGACCCTGTCAAAGAAGTTACTGGCCTCCCAGATGGACAAGTTTGTGTTTTATTCATAGAGGAGTTCTGCCACAAGTAAGGATCTTCAGATCCTTCAGGTGGCAGGGAAGTGTTGCTGTTTCTAACTGAAACTTTTGAGATGTAAAGCAAATTTGTGGCTGCATCCAGCAGGTGGCAAGCACAGCACGCAGAATCATGGCTGGACAGAGAAGCTTCTGCCAGAAGCTCCCGATCCTGCTCAGCATGTGCATGTGTGTCCATGAACAAAATATACAGATAAATGGCAATGTCTGCCAGTCCTTTGTCAGCTTCGAGGGTGCTGGGGCACTGGTCCTCTTCTGGGTGCTATTGATAATGCATGGGGTTTTTTGCCATATTCAATTTAAGCAAATGCCTGTCTCACATGTAAGGATATGAGCTAACTGGAAAGTATTCAGTATAACAATTTAAATATTTCTTTAAATTACATAGTTAAATGATGTTCAAGCTTCAAAAGTCAAGATTCTACCTTGCAATGAAGTTTAACTTAAAATTTTTAATGAAGGAGAGTTTTTTGTATCATACAGCTTTAGAAGTTGTGACTCGTCACAGTGCCTTGCAATGTACGAGTAGACACATTGTTCCCATTTTTGCAGCTGGAAGAACAAAGGCAAAACTGAAAAAAATTTCCCTTACTATAAGTGAATGAAAGAGTAGGAAGATTTCTAGACCTGGTTGTAGTAGCTTATTTTCCTTAAAAAGTATTAAACCACAGAAATGTTTTATTGTGTTTTGATTTTGATCATCAGAAAATATGGATAATCCAACCACTCACTACTTGAGACAAAGCCACATTAGACATATGATTTTGAAAGTTATAAATACTGTAAATTCTCAAGGGGCATGCAATTTTCTACATTATATATGCAAAGGTTTGGATTTTTTTTTAAAGTTTTGTAGTGTCAAAAAGTACTTATGAACTCATTTATCTTTGAGGACAATAAATGGGTGGAATCAGACATAAATATTATCTGAAGCTTGTTATTTGAGAGATAAAGGACACATATGAGGATATCATTGGTGGAAACTTCCCACAGTGCTTGTCACCTTTCCTCTAGATTTGTATTAAGAATTTGAGCCAGACTTTAGTTCTGATTTATGCTAGTATAAATCTGAATTTGTTCCATATAAATAAAAAAATGTTCTATAGGGAGAAAATACCCTGGGCATTATTTTATATAAATGGAGAGAAATTCCATAAAAGCCAAGAGTAAAGTTTGATCTCGGATGTTTTGTGATGGGACTAAAAGTATTTTTAGTTAAACTGATAGATAAGCATTGTCCCATTTTTGTTTATCAGTATATGAGTTTACTAAATGTGCAGGAATTCAAATTTTTTTACTTTCAGTCATACAGATTATGGAGTCAACTCCCTCTGTATAAAAAGTTCTTCAAAGTGAGGGTGGCTTATCATGAGGAAATACTGAGTGAACACCATTGCTGTGTGCACATACACAGTTATTTTTAAACTACTACAAAAATACCCACTGGGATATAAATGTATATTTCTGAAGCAATGTTTGAAATGTATGAGTAGAAATATAAATCTAAAAATATATTTATTCTATATTTAATAAATAACTCTGCATTTTATTGCATATATTATTATGAAAAAATTGCCATTAAAAAAAATAGTAGCATAAATCAGAGTAAGACCAATTTCAAGGACCTTAAATTTCCATTTGAGTTTAAAATTGGGCCTCTATATATAGCATATATTTGAAAATATATTATAAATATGATTATAGGACATTTATGTAATTAAAAAAACCTCCAACAAAACAAGAAACAAAGTTTCACTTCTTCAACAGAATAGCTCACATATATGCAAGTCATGTTCTTTCATGTTATTTACACAAGCTTTTCCTTTTGAAACACCTGTGGAGTTAGGAGTTTTCCCTCCCCTTCTTTCGTAGTTCTAAGCTAAACGGTGGGATGTGGCAGGAACTCTGGCACACCTGTCCAACACTTAGGCTGCTTTCCGTAATGAAAAACAAAATGAAAACGAAGCAGTCCTCTTTACAACGTAAGCTCAAAGGCCACTGCTGACTCTTCACAGTATGATTTCTCTGAGGTGATCCAGTGTTGCTGTGATGAGCTGTGATGTTCAGGACCGCAGATGAATCTTGTTGTTCTTGCTGCTTCACACACAAGGTTGTTCAAAAGAAGAACTCTGTGAAATGCCTCAATTGGTGTCGAAAGGCCCGGCAGTCTTTTTCACGTGCAAGCGGATATTTTCTGGTGGCCGATAGGAGAGGGAGCTCATTTTGGTTGTGAGGCTTGGATGTGTGCTGACGTTCGGTGGGATGTATTTTATTAGCTGAAGGAAGTATTTTTTAAAGTTTTTTCCAAAAAAAACATAAAAAAAAGGATTTAGACAGTTGTTAAAGTAAGCGATACAAATGGTGAAGGGCATAGCGGTATCCACAATATCGGTGATTTTGCAATCTGTTATTACGTGTAATTGAATCAACACATCCAGAAAAGTGAACACTTGATGAGGAATCCAGGAAAAGAAAAAGAAAAACACAATTGCTACAATCATCTTGAAGATATCATCATTTCTAGTCTTATTTTTTTGAATTTGATAAGCCTTCTTCAGAGTCTTCCAAATTAAGGTGTAGCTTGTTAATATGATCAGAAAAGGAACTAAAAAGCCCAGCAAATTTTTGGATAAACCCAGCCCGACCCGGAGCGTCGTGTTATTGCTCTCGTAGCGAAACCCGCAGACCGTCATGTTCAAGTTCTCAGCGAAGAAGATGTTGCGGTGGATGACGACGGGCAGGCTGGCCACGCCGGCCAGCAGCCAGATGGCCACGCAGGTGACGCGGGCCACGAACACGGTGCGGCGGATGCGCGACTGCACCGGGTGCACGATGGCCAGGTAGCGGTCGATGCTCAGGCACGTGAGCAGGAACACGCTGGCGTACAGGTTGAAGCTGATCCCCGCCGAGGCCAGCTTGCACAAACAGTTGCCAAAAGGCCACTGGTACTCCATGGCCGTGTAGGCTGCCCAGAGGGGCAGAGTTATCAAAAAACACAAGTCAGCCAGTGCCAGGTTGAGAAGAAAGATGCTGGCTACTGTTTTCAATTTCATGTAGCAGTAAATGACAATCACCACCAGGCTGTTCCCGAATATGCCTATGATAAAGATGATGCTGTAAACGGTTGGAACCATAATGTAGATGTAGCTGTGCCTTCCTGAAACAGGGCAGTCCACGTGGATTCTTTTAACAGTTTCTTCAGTAGAGTAATTTGGAATCATCTTGAACTCTTCAGCTACAATGTAATTGCAGGGAGAAAATATGAAGCTCACACCTAGGAGGGAAAAAGAGGGAAAAAAGGTATTTGTGATAGGGATTTAATTTTTAACAATTCTCAACTAAACATCAGGTTTTTTGTCAAGTCTAACACTATGTGTCAATGTCTTTGAATTTTAAAATAAGCCATCTTCAATTTTATCAACCAATTTATAATTCAATACAGACTTTGCAGGGTAAAACAGAGGTAAGAATGTTAGGAGTAGGCCGAACATTTTTAGATTCTTTTCAACATACATGAAATCTAAAACACCTCTTTCAATTAACTAAGTTCCAATTTAAAATAATAATGGTTAGTGAACATATGTAAAAAATAATTAGAGAGACTGAAAATAGCAAATAACTATAAATTCAGTGGCGTATTTAGATTTTCTTTCCATAAATAGGTGACATATTTAAGGAGATAAGTTATTCAGATATCTCAGAAACGAAACTTAAGCACTATGAATACTAATTAAGTATGTAAAATACAAACTGCAATGAATTAAGAAAATAAGTGACTTTAGGTACTCATTTGTATCTCCGAGATTAATCACTAGAATATTTTTTTATACATTGAACCTATTTCTTTAAGAATATTCTTACATCACAGAGAAAGAAGAAAATGTATGATTTAGTATTCTGTTGTACCAAAACTACCTTAAATATTCAGAGGTTACTTAGCTCCCCATCTGTCTTGGAACTATGACATTTAACTAGTAGTGAGGGGAAAAAATCTAAAAATCCAGACATGTCCTGATCTCTTGTGCATTAATAACTGTACAAAGAATTTAAGAAGGATGCAAGGCAGAACACATTACTTTTTCAGTTGCTGACAAAATTTATGTATCCAAGAGTTGAAGTTGCATTTCTGGATCATATTTAGAGCTCAGCGAGGGTATGAGGTCTCCTTTCAAGAGGGCACCTGCTTGGTTTGCCAAGGCCTGAGTGTTCTGCAAGAATAATTTCTTTATTAATGGCTGATTACTTTAGAAAGCTTACAGTTTAAGTGACTTGAATACTCATTACTTTCTAGAGTCTAAAACCAGATAGTCCTCCCTGAAAAACAATTTGATTTAAAAAAAATCATAGGTTTTATTGCAGAGTAGCTGTTGCTGTTTGCAAGATCCAGCTATAAGCCAAACCTAACTTGTGCTGCTTAAAACAAAGATTAACTGAAGTACTTTGGCTTCAAAACCAAACCAAAACAAATCCCAAGCAGCAAAGAAACCCTTTATAAATGTAAGACCCAACCTAAGACCCTGGGCAGTATGGATGCATGGAGGAAGCAGAGATGCCCATCATTGCAGACACACCAGCGATGTCACAGATGCGGCTGCTCGTTATTTGAGTGCTTCAGCACTGATGTTTCTTTTAAATTCAGAACGCCACGGAGTTTAGTGTTTGACTGGCTCTTGTTGAAGGGCAAATCTTTTTACAACTGACTGTGTTTTTAACAGGGAAGTGAGGCACAGATTTGTTTCAGCAAAGCCCACACAGGAAGTCTGAAGGAGCCAGGAACTGAACCCAGAATATGGGCTGCAGGCAGCATCTTGTGAGCATGGTCACCCTTTGGCTCTTAGCCTTTTGTAGACTTGTTATTTCTCTATCTTAGCTCATGTTGTAGCATATGTTTGCATTCATAACCTGATTCACTTCTACAAAGCTAGCAGGGTAACATCAAGATTTAGGTTCTTGATAATTCTATCAAGTTTAGAGTACCTAGTAAAATGCAACTAATAGACACTTTGTCAAGATGTGCTGTGCAACACTTCTCAGTTCCTTCAATTCATTCTGTGTATTTGTCTTGTTGATTCAGTTGGTATGGATGCCTCAAAATGACATGAGCTATTTTTGCCAAGTTTAAGAAATGAACAAGTCAAACAGAGCTAACACAAAAAAAGGTTCACCATCTGATCACATGTGGCATTCTAGTACATCCCAAGTAAAACCTGGCTTTTAAACTGTGTCAAATCTCAAATACAAGGTGTTTGGCTCTGTGGAAGGTCAGCTTATCTCTGGGACAGGGAAACCACAATAGAAAGATTTCAAGATAAATCCTTCTATATCATCCCTTGCTTATGAAAGTAACTTTGACAGTAACTGATATGTTCTGCAGCATCAAGTCTGGCAACATTTGCCCTATCCTGGCTACAGGCTGGTGCTGCATGGTCTTTGCTCCCTTATATACTCACTAAAATTACAGCCCAGAACTTTCCAGTAAGAATCTGGAGTGAAGTTTCTGCTTGGGAGATCACCTGTGCAAGTTTGACTGGCAATAATATGGATCAGGCCTGGTGTAATGCTGGGCAAGACTTTTCTCAGTGACAAGATTTACCAGTCCCTGGTACAGTTTGGCTCTGTGTGTGCTGAGTGACAGATTCTGTGTCTAAGGCAAATACAGCTGAGGGTGAATATTCACTTTTGGTGGAGTTGATTCTGTGCAGTGGTAGATGCCAAGGCAATTTTCCCATGGTCTCCTCACACACTCCTTCAGTGTACTGCATTGTGTTGTTTTGCTTCCAATTTCCCTCTTCTACCCACATGGTGACCTGTACTGTTTCATGTCTGTAGTAGCTTTAGCTGATACTAATTAATAGCATATGTTCTTTCAAGAAAGAGCAATAGTGATTCTATTACATTTTCAGAAATGTGTTAAAATAAACAAAAAATAATTCAGTTGGGAATAATTGTCTGGTACTCTGAGGTATTGAATTGCCTGCGCATATTCTGCAGTGCTTGGGAACTAAAAAAAAAAGCAGAACAATTCCTATGAAGAATCAGGAATTTTGTAAAGAAATAGTATTATACCTCAATCTACCTCTGTAAGTGTATAAGCCTTCTGGAAGTAAAAGACTTTGGTGTAAGACTGAAGTCAGTGGAATTGTGCAAATGATGTTTCTGGTATGCTACCACTTTTAAATTATACTAAGGAATCACAATCAGTAAATAAAATAAATCCATCAATATTTTCAGTAAATAATGAGGAAGCAGAAATACGTAACGTGGTTGCTTTTGGGTAAACATGTATGGATTTCCATCTGGGTATCTGGAAACAGTCTGAACATTGCTGTGAGAATGAACCTCACAGGAGCTGTACATATGAAAGACACTAAGGAAGGCACTGCTAATCCCAAATGGAATGTTTAAATTTCCTGGAAATTATAAAGTTTCAGAGCTTGCCTTAGGTGGATCTGCTTCCTTGAGCACAACTAACTTCAGAGCATTAGGAAAAGCTTCAAAGTTGGTGAAGGTCATTTTTTTTGGAAGGCACGGCCCATGGCTGTGCTGAGTAGTGTGAGATGGCCACTTCAGCAATGTGAGTTCCTCACAGGCAGTGATTTCTTTCCCATACCACCTTCAGTTTTTTCTGTTATTCTCACTTGCCACAGTTCATCTGCTTGTCCCATTGTCCCAGGATCATGGCTGCACACATGCAAAGAAGATACTGGCCAGTTAAATGCATCTGTTGAAGTTGTCCACATTGATAATTCCATGTAAAGCATCTCAAATGACCTGTGTTAGCATAATGATAATTAGATCATTTTAAGGCTGACACACAAGGTGTTTTTTCTAATGGGATTGAATTGTGACTGTGAGTGATGTGGTGGCATCAATCTCAAACAAATTATCTGGTGAGAAGCAAGTACCCATTCTGAGGTACTGTCCTGTTTGACCTTTTATCTTTTTAAATTACAATGATTACAATAAGTCACTGATAATTAAATTCTTCAGACTGCTCAACCAACTATTATTTACCACTCCATTCATTGCTTCTGTTGGGTGAACATGCATCCTAATTAAACTGCCTGTGGAAAAAAAGGAATGCTGGGTTCATGCAAGGTAAACAGCACTTTGCCTACTGAAAGATAAGGAAGCAGTGGCTTTGGCTTTCTGTGAGAACTTCATCAGCTATAAATAGGTAAGCAGGTGTCACAAATCAGATTTTGAACAAAAATGTACTTAATATTTGCTTTGACAAAGGCTAAATAAATGGAGGCTGACCAATCATGCCACAGCTCAGCCACCTTATCACTAGGTAATGTGCACTTTCCTTCTTCTGACAGTGGGTGGGTTATTATCTTTTCTTACAAATGAGAAGATAGTTCTATGTTTAAGAAGATACTGCATTATATTTTTATGTAAATTTTTTGCACAGGGAGAAAAGAGAATAAAAAATGTTTGGAACAATATGTTCAGTATATTAGCTATATTTATTTCCTTCTGGTGGCATAAACTTTCCTTTATCTTAAGAATTTAGTGCCCCCCTTTCCTAATTTATTCTAACAGTTGAGAAAGTAATGACACACATGCTCTATTGCAAAGGCTTTTAGGGTCTTTTTCTAGCCACAGAGTAACCCTTTCTATCCTCATGGTCTTAGTGAGTAGAGCTACTTGTAGTTCACACCCACACTTCAGCACCTTCTGTGCTTTCCTGGAGTTCCTGAGCAGTACTATTGTGAAGCCATAGATTTATCTTTCTCCCAGTTCTTATTTCTTCAGCTAGTTCTAACAGTCTGTATTTCCCACTGACGGCTTTCCTAAATATCTTTAATCCAGAGTTGATAGATGGATTGTGAAGGGAAAGAGAAAGACAAACAAGGGTACATAATTCAAACTGTGCCATTAGAGTGGGCTCTTGTCATCACTGCCAGTACCTTCCACAGAGGTCAGCATCTGACTTAAGTGCTAAATGCCAATAAATCAAAATACCACTGGAAAGGAACTGTGATAGATACTGCAGCACCAGACACTGTCTGTACATCAGCTCACAAGCACCAGGAACACAAAGCAAACCTCAGCAGAGCTGTGTTAGCAGCTGTCAAACTGTTCTGCAATTTTGGATCAGGAGGTGGTCTGACATCAGAACAAACAGAACTTGCAGACCTTGTACTGGCCTTAGCATTTTCTTCTAACAACTGAGGCAACTGCCAGTCTTTTGAAATTGCTGTTAATTTTGTGATGTTTGCTTTATTTATTTATAAGTATG